GTAGTTGTATTCAGATTTTGTTCATAATTTGCTATTTACTTCATGTTATATGTGTCAATCTTCTTTTTTCTTTTCCTTTAGCAATTTCCTTTTACTATTTAATTTATGTTTAAGTATATCAATCGTAAACTTATTTTTATTGTTTATCATATACCGAGAATAATAATTAGAGAAACAAATAAATTAATAATGGATATTAATTGATATGATTCTATATAAAATTTGAATGAAAACTATATTTTTGACAAGTAGTAGTACCTACATTTGACACATGTTTTATGTATCTTCTTTTAATTTGTTTCAAATAATAATAATTTTATTCAACTAACAGTAAACAAATAATCACTAATTTCATTAAATGGAAAAATTACTAAATTTAAACGTTTAATTTATAATTATGTCATTACTTACGTATGAGTATTAGTATTAGTATCAGTATCAATATCAGTATCGGTATCAGTATCAGTATCAGTATCAGTATCAGTATTAGTATCAATATTAGTATTAGTATTAGTATTAATATTAGTATTAGTATTCATATCAATATCAATATTCATATTAGTATTATAACAGTATCACTATCACTATGAGTATGAGTATGAGTATGAGTATGAGTATGAGTATGAGTATGAGTATGAGTATGAGTATGAGTATGAGTATGAGTATGAGTATGAGAATGAGAATGAGTATGAGTACGAGTATGAGTATGAATATGGGTATGAGTATGAATATGAGTATGTGTATGAGTATAAGTATGTGTATAAATATCAGTATCAGTATCCGTATAAATATCAATACAATATTAATATCAGTATCAATATTAGTATCAGTATTAGTGTTAGTATTAGTATTAGTATTAGTATTAGTATTAGTATTAGTATTAGTATTAGTATTAGTATTAGTATTAGTATTAGTATTAATATTAGTATTAATATTAGTATTAGTATTAATATTAGTATTAGTATTAGTATTAGTATTAATATTAGTATTACTATTAGTACGAGCATCAATATTAGTATCTCTATGAGCATCAGTATTAGTATTAGTATTAGTATTAATATTAGTATTAGTATTAGTATTAGTATTAGTATTAGTATTAGTATTAGTATTAGTATTAGTATTAGTATTAGTATTAGTATTAGTATTAATATTAGTATTAGTATGAGTATTAGTATTAGTATCAGTATTAGTATTAGTATTAGTATTAGTATTAGTATTAGTATTAATATTGGTATTAGTATTAGTGTCCGTATTGGTATTGACGTATTAGTTTAAAAATTAAATATTCGTATTAGAATTGGCGCATTATTACTAATAGTAGTGTTGATATTAATATTAGTATTATACTATTAGTATTAATCATTGTATTAATATTAAGATTAGTATTAATATTAGTATTATTAGTATTAGTATTAGTATTAGTATTAGTATTAGTATTAGTATTAGTATTAGTATTAGTATTAGTATTAGTTTTAGTATGATATTAGTATTAGTATTAAACTATTAGTATTAGTACCATTATCAGTATTAGTATCATTATCAATAACAACACCAATATGAGTATGAGTATGAGTATGAATATCAGTATCAGTATCAATATATGTATAAGTATTGGTATAAATATTAATATTGATATTAGTATTGGTATTAGTATTGATATTAATATTAATAATAATATTAGTATGAGTATTAGTATTAATATCAGTATCGGTATCGGTATCAGTATCAGTATCAATATATGTATGTGTATTAATATTCAGTAGTAGTATCAATATCAATATCAGTATTATTATCATTATTAGGATTGGTATTAGTATTAATAATAGTATTAGTATTTGTCATGGGCATTAACATTAGCATTAGTATTGATATTAGTATTAGTATTAGTATGAGTATTATTGTTCGTATTAGTATTGGCGTATTAGTTTAAATATTAAATATTTGTATTAGAATTGGGGTATTATTATTAGTAGTAGTGTTGATTTTTTTTTATTTTTTTTGAGCAAATTCAAGTCCATTACGAGGGGAAGTATGGGGGGGGGGGGGGGGGACTCCAACCCTAAAGCTTTCCCTATTGGGAAATGCTATGTACCAACTCTTCTATTGAAGGTTGGTTAAAAGTAGTGTTGATATTAATATTAGTATTAAACTGTTAGTATTAATCATCGTATTAATATTAGGATTAGTATTAATATTAGTATTATTAGTGTTGGTTTTAGTATTAATATTAGTATTGGTATTAGTATTATTAATGTTGGTTTTAGTATTAATATTAATAGTTGTTGTTAGTGTAAGATTAATGTCAATATTAGGGTGGCATAGGCAATTGTACGCCGTAATGTCCAGAGTTAAAAGTAGATTTGAGATAAAGGTATTTATCAACTCAGAATCGGACAATATAACTAACTTTACGAGCAATGTTGTATGCACCAAAGATTTTCAGCGAATACGGAGATAAATCACAAACAAATGTATATTTTGATTCAATAAAACATTTTTTTTTTGTATTATTTACGTGTATGTCAACTGGTCAAAGTTTTCGTTCGTTTTATTTTACCCAAAATAAATTTAAAAAAATAATTGATCTCGTGCATCGCACGGGTGAATTACTAGTTAAAATATAAAACAGGGGTCTTGCTCAAATGCAAAAAAGAATAGGATTGAAGAAATGAAAATGTCTCCCAATAAATTATTACAAAATCTGAACTTTGTGCAGATTAGAGGCATCCAGATTCGCCGAATTTCGAATCTTCCCTTTTATCCAAGAAATCAGCTACATGCTTCCCCACCGTAACTATATCGAAACCCCCACGCGGCACCATAAATACTTGATTTTCATACTACAACCAATTAAATCATTTCATAAATTTTCTTATGTGGAGCGCGAAACATCGAAACCCAACCTAAATAGCACAAAATGTATTTTTCACCAAATATCCATTAAAACAAAACAAAGCTGTTTCGTTTCAATTTTCGTCTCCCTCCATACTCGTCCTCCTATACATACAATCTATACATACAAAAGATCGTACTTCCAAAAATCGTTCAGTTTATGCATCTCTAGCTGCGATTTTTGGCACTGGTTTTTCTTTCAGTTTGGGTTTTCCTCTCTTGTTTTTACCTCTTCTTTGAGGAAATGGAAATGGTGGCAGCGGTGGAGAATTCGAGCTTTTTGATGGTTTACTGCTATTCTATTGGTGGAGGAATGGTTGCCGGAAAACGAATAGCTCGACGGTTTGCCAAAACTTTTATAATACCTACGGTCTCGCCTTGTTGTAAATTTAGGGTTTTCTGAATTTTAAATTAGGGTTTCGTTAATTTTTCTTTTCAACTTTCTGATTTACTGTGGTTGGAGCTGGAAATCAGAAATTTGAACTTGTTAGCGTCTAACTTTGGTCAATTTCTTGTCGTTCAAGGGTATTATTTTTAAAATTGTTGTGAATGAATTTCCTATTTCAGCTTATGAGTGGAATTTGAGAATCCTGTGTTCTTCTTTTGAGAATTCCGTGTTTGAAATTATCACTTTTGTGATTAATCGATCTGGAATTTGAAAAAAAACCATCTGTCACTCTGTGTGTCTTTGAGTTTAGTTTTTCATTTCGTTAGGTTCGTGGTAACAAACTTGCACATAAGATTTTAAATGGCAGGGAAGGGGGAATTAGGGTTTCCGAAGACGGGTATTTGTAATCTGAAAGAGCAGTTGGTCAGGACAACTCTGCGTAATGTGAGATCACAGGGGCACCCGTATGTTGAGCTTAGGGAAGATGGGAAGAAGTTGATATTCTTCTGTACTTTGTGTCTTGCCCCTTGCTATAGTGATTCCATCTTGTTTAATCACTTGAAGGGCAATCTACACACTGCAAGACTAGCCACAGCACAAGTTACATTGCTGAAGCCAAATCCATGGCCATTCGGTGATGGCGTGTTTTTCTTCAATGGTGATTCAGAGGAACAAAAGGGTGTTTTGAATGTTCCAGAATCCAAGCAAAAGAAATTGCTAGACACCCATCATGCTGATGTAGACAGCCTTGCTATTGTTACTTATGAGGAAAATACGGCCGGTACTCACGTTTTGGAAGAGGTTCAGGGTCACACTGGTTCTAATGAATCTCTCTGTGATTCAAATCCCGAAGCTGAAGGAGATAGTCATGAACTAGTTATTCCAGCTGTGCTGCAAAAAGACGAGGTATCTGATTTGGTGGTGAGGCGTATGGGAGTTGGACTAATTGGTGCTAGGTTAAGTGAGAAAGATGGAGCCTCCAATGAAATTCGTAGAATATGGTGTGAATGGCTTGGGAAAAAGGGTTTCACGAACGAGGATGCTAACACGGTTCCAGAGCATGACTTTGCTGTTGTTACTTTTGCTTATAACTATAACTTGGGTCGAAAGGATTTATTTGATGGTTTCAGATATTTGCTGCCTTCGAGTCCTCATTCAGAAGCAGAGGACGGTGGCTGTTCTAAAGGCAAGAAAAGGAAGTCGTTTTCTGATCCAGAGGATATAAGTGAGGCATTGAGTAATCAATACGACTCCTCTGGAGAAGAATCTCAATCTTCAAATAATCTAAGTTCGAAAATGCGATTGTCTGGGAATGATGATCAGCTGGTGCATTGTCGAATTCTTTCGAGCAAAACGATGAGGAAACAATTGAGAGACCAACAGCGTGTTGCCTCTGAGAGGTCGTGTGATATCTGCCAACAGAAGATGCTCCCAAGTAAAGATGTGGCTGCTCTCTTCAACAGGAGAACTGGAAAGCTTGCTTGCAGCAGTAGAAATTTGACTGGGGTTAGACATTTCTGATGTTTTCTGATGTTTTTACACCTGGATATAATTTATCTTACATTGTATGGTTTCCATTTGAATATAGGCGTTCCATCTGTTTCATGTGTCCTGTCTCATTCATTGGATACTGCTTTGTGAGGTTGAAAACTGTGGAAAACAGTCAGTTGAAACCAAAGGAAAACGAAAATCCAGGAGAAAGGTTAAAGGCAAGGCTGGACAAAATCAGGAGAAGCAAATATACTCTACATTCTGTCCTGAATGCCAGGGAACTGGTATAAGAATCGATGGGGAAGAAGAGCTTGAGAAACCAACCGTTCCGCTTTCTGAGGTTCACAGTATTTTTAGATTTGTTCCTAGTTGTTGTCTGAACCTTCATATTTTTTATGTTTTAAATTCTTTCTTCTTGAGGTTTTTCTTTTCCTTTTTTATTTCAATTATGTAAAAACTGATATAAATATTGATATTCGCTAAAAAAGTAGTAGAGGAGGCTTGGGGTTGCCTTAATTGACTGAATTGATGCCTTAATTACTTAATGTTCTCTTGGTCTCGTTTCAGATATTCAGGTGTAAGATCAAACTATGTGATGCTCATAAAGCATGGATGAAGAGTCCCGAAGTGTTGGACAATTGCTCAATGGGCTTTAATTTCCCTCCTCATTCCGATGAAATGTATCAGGTAAGGCCATGTAATTAATTGTCAGTTATAACAGGTTTCGTTTGTCAATAACTAACCAGACATACCGATGAATGTGTTAAACTTCGTTCGTAGATGGATAATAACAAATTTCAGTTGATTGCTTAATTGTCAGGAAAAGGTGGTATCTCTGAAATTGCTATACTTCTATCGTGCCTGTGATTAGGCCTGGTTTCTCAGATGGAAGTTGGGTTTATCAAGTGACAATGTTGATTAACTCGTATAAAGCGGCTGGCTATGTTTGGATGTACTTAGTGTAGGCCTATATACTTATACAAGACGTTTTCTTTTTGTGCCTCTGGATTGGCAGGTGCATATACCAGTCAGTGGGTTTCCGTAAATTTGGTTTTTATGTAATTAAACTGCGTTCCGTGATTAGGTGTTTTCTGTTTGTCGATGACCTCGTTTTCTTGAAATGAATATCTCCATAAGTACAAGTCTACATTTCAGCGTTGGTATGAAATTCTTGAATATCCCATTTTCAGTTCCCATATAAAATTATGACTGTTAAATATGTACACTTGTTTCATTGTTTGATTGACGGATTAATACAAAATATAATATGTAGTAATGTATTATAAATGTCGAAAGAGTCGTAATACTTTGTTTGATAACATAGGTCATGTTGTATTTTTTTATTGCGCTAAGTTAACCTATTCAAATATAAAATCGCAATACAACAGTTTTAGGGAGATTCCGAGCAAATGAAACATACACGATATGTCATAGAACAGTTTTGTAGATGTTATACTTGTCTTAGGTTTGGTAGTTAAGATTTCTTGGTGTTGTATACATCACGGTTGAGATATTAGATACATACATACATACATACATACATACGTGTACGATTAGGTGTTACTTTTTTACCCGTTGTAACATAAAATAAGTTGTCCTAGAATAACCCCATTTCGAGCCCTTTCGATTGCTCAGATTGAAGAATATTATGTGGTACTGTTTCTTGTGTGTTTTCGTCCATTCTTTTTCATTTAGGTTGTGTCGATTTGCGAGCAGACACAGGGCAGGTCCCAAGTTCTGGCAGACTATAGTCGAAACAAAATAAAAAATAAAAATTGAAGCACTCTGTAACTTTTATATAAACTAAATGTCTAATTTTATTTTTTTAAAATACAATATTCGACAATCCAAATGATCAGACTACAAAATTGATTAATCATAATGACTTCAACCCAGAAAAAGCCTACGTATTTATAAAGATATTATCTTTCCCATTTTCTTAAGGGAGCTACAAAATATCAAAAAAAAGGTTGTAGGATTAAGTTTGATTACGATATTTTATTTCAACCGATAAATTTCGTAGTAACTCGAGAAACTCAGGTTGTGCAAATTCGTAGTAACTCGATAAACTCTGGTTGTGGAAATTCGTACTAACTCGAAAAACTCAGTGATAACTACTTTTATTTGGTTCAAGTATGAAGGGAACAAGAAATGAATATTTCTACAAAAATGAATGAGACTATATATTACATGCAGTTGTTGAGGAAAAAACTTGTATGCTCTCTGAGATTGAGATCTCAAGATGCAGGTTAGTTGTCATACCTATTTTGCTAATCACCTCCTCTATCCACTCTAAAAGGAAAAAATAAAAAAATAAAATATATATATATGTATGTATATATCTATGGAAGTTGGGGTGGGTCATTATTTTCCTGGCTATCTTCGTCGGCTGGCGGCTGAGGTGGCGGAGTTGTAGCTGCTTCTGGTGGTGGTGTCCTAGATGTTCTTGCAGGAGTGTACTTTTGCAGTAGTCTATCTTTGTTTTCTCTCCACCATTCTTCCGCTTGCTGCTCTGCAAACCTTTTCTTGCTGTACAAATACATCTCGAGTTATTCTTCTACTATGATGCTTAATGCAATAATTAGTTTTTATGTATTGCAAGAACAAAACCTCAGCAGCAATGAAGATAGGTATTCAGAAGTCAAAAAAAAAAAAAAAACGGGTGGTAAAATACCTGAATTTAACACGCCTGAAGATTTTGGTTCCATTGGAGAGTTGAATGAGAGTGACATAAACACCTGGTTCAAATTGTTCAATAACTTCCTTCTGCCCTGAAGAAGAAGTGGCGGCATTTGTATCATTTGTACGAGAAGTTGACGTTCCGTCATTTTCCCTTGGAGTTACATCTAAACTCTGCTGTGATATCATGTCCTGAACAACCACATCATTGCTATTTGATGATTCACTTACTGTATTATTATTATTATTCTGTTGCTCTAATTCCAATTCTCGACCAACTGTAGAAGAATTATCTTCACAATTCGTCCCAATTGTGTCTACGAGAGTTGCAGCTTGAGCCTGTATGCTTTTATAAGATTCACTCTCGACTATCTCTTGGGGCAACTTTTCTTTAATTTCCTTCCACTGGAATTAGAACGAAACATATTGTCATTGTTTATTATTAATCCATAAACAACATAATCATTAAGTGTTATTTAATATCTTTTTTACTTGATTAAACTAGAAAGTTACAACAAATGTTGCAACATTTCGGATTACCTCATCCATTATGGTCTTCACAACTTGCATTGCTGTGCTGCACTTGGAAGTTCTATCCGCAGCCGATTCCGAAGCTTCTTCGGCGATTTTTTTCAACTTCTGAATTTCTGTACTTTGAGATTCAGTTTTTTGTTTCAAACTCCTTACCTGAGGAAAAAAACAAAACAATTACCGACAACTTACAAACATAAGTATGTATGATGACACTGAAGACCAAGTGGATAATCATTAGTACCTGACCCTGCAATTTGGAAACTTCTTGTGTTAAAAGATCATTAGACCTCTTCAAAGTGTCGACTGCACCCCTTGAGAACACCGGAGCAGCTGAGCGTGGTGGACTTGGCCGTCTCGAGTATGGTGAAGCTGGTCTCGAGTTTGACTGATACTGTGCCTGCTGCTGCTGCTGCTGCTGCTGTTGATAAGGCTGTGGTGATGACATCGGTGAAGACGTTATAACCGGCTTTAAAGCGTACTGAAGTGCACTAAGCGAACTCGGAAAAGCAATATCCTTAAGCTGTAAAAGAGACGGGACTTGTGAAGCACGAACTATCGAATAGTTATCGAATTTCGTGCCAGGGCTTGTTGCAGTTTTGATCTCAAGGTACTTTATCGGCTCTACAGTCGGAGAGAGAAGAACCCTTGAAGCCCTCGGCTCTCGATTATTACTACTCATATCCATCGAAGATCGATGCCCAGATGCTCTTCTATTGATAATGGTTGTGTTTCCTCCAACTTCTGCAGCTTTTTTCAGTTTGAGATAGCAAGAATCACACACTCTGTGGGGCTTACCTGGTGTTGGAGCAAGAGCTGCTTTCATCGCCTTCTTCGAACTGCATGCATGGCAATGCACAAGCCCGCAGTTGTAACAGTTGTGCCGTTTTCGAGTGAACCCAAACGCTTGCCTACAAGCTGTGCACACCGACTGATCCGCTCCCGAAACCCACTTGTGTATGCATATACTGGCCGTGTAGTTGGACCCGCACGCTATGTTTCTTACATGCCTGTCTTTCAAAGCTTCTACTAACGTCGGAACATTCCTATCCTCGGTATCTCCGTGCCCTAATCTTCCATTCGCACCTCTCCCCCAAGTGAACACTTCGCTTCTTAAAGTGAGCACCGCTACATGATTTGCACCGCACGAGATTTGTTCGACAAACTCACCCACGAGCCTGTCTTGCACTAAACAAGGCGACTTCCCATCGGCCATCGGATTACCTAATTGGCCGAAGGCATTACTCCCCATAGCAAAGACGTGGCCGGATGTCGTAAGAGCGACGGTCATATTGTGTCCGCACGCCAGCTGTTGAATGTTGTAGTCGATGAGTGCGGAGACGCATGTCGGGAAAAGATAAGTATCCTTATTCCCGTGACCTAATCGGTTCTTATCTCCATCTCCCCACGTGAATAGCTTTCTAGAAGAAACGTTCGGCCCCAACTGGTTCGTGACTTCAATAATAGCAGCTGTGTGCCACACACCACAAGAAACTGCGACAGCTTTCAATCCGCTCAACGCTTGGACCTCCCTCGGATAAGGAATGCTCTCACGGTCACCGTGCCCTAAAGCACCGAACATCCCGTCTCCAAAAGTGAACAGTTTTCCAGTTGAAGTTGCGAGCGCGGAATGCCAAGTGCCGCACGCAACCGATAGAACTTGAAGACCTTCTAAACTCCCTGAAACCCTCTTCGGTATCCAATGGCTAACATCATTTCCATGGCCGAGAATTCCGGCATTGTGGGTCCCATCTCCCCATGTGTATAAATCGCCAGATGAAGAGAGCGCGCACGTATGGAATTCACCACAAGAGACGAAATCGACATTCGTGACGGCCAAAAAATCGACCAGACGGGGGCGGCTAAAGTCCTTTTCAACCCCGTGGCCCAAACGGCCCCCCGATTCCTGCCCCCACGTGAAAACCTCGCCCTGCCTTGTCACGAGAGCAACATGGCGGACGCCACAAGAGATTTGATGAACATCGAGTACTATGTTTGTTTCTAACGGTTTCGGAGTTAAGACGTCGTTCTTTATTGGGATCGGATTACCGTTTGGGTCGGTTGCAACTCCGTCGGACCAAATCTGCCCCCAGAGATAGACATCACCGAGAGATTCAATGTCGTCGGGACCGGAGCCCTGACTTGAACAACTTGGAGTGCTCGACACACTAATTCGGAAACCATCTGCACCACTCGTTCTTAGTTGCATGTTTGCAGTACATTCAGACCCAACATGTGAGCTTGAGCTGTAATCTGTGGAGATTCTGCCACGTGGAATACTCGACGTGAATTCTAGTGCTGCTCCAAACGGACGGTTCTCTTGACAGTTGTCGCTACCACCGTGTAACTGCAAATAAACGCACATCAGAAGTACATACTTAGCTTGAGAAGTTCCGTCTTTTCGTACAATCACAAATACCAATGTAACAATGCAACAAACATTGTCCAATCATTGAGCTTTCTCTGTGTAAGTAACTACTACAGAGTACATATCATTGAGAATTCAAATAAATGCCTTATCAAGAATTGCAATAGTAACAACCAACTTCTTATATATAAATTTTCATTAGTAAATGCTGTTGATCCCCAACTAGTTGAGATTTTGTCCATCGTACCCTTATCAGATTGGTAAAATAATTTAGTGTATGCTCTCAACATGCATTTGGAAAACGATTCGCATACACAACTCAACGACTTATTTGTATAGATAACTGCATATAAACGTGTAAAGAATGTCCGCGCAGAAATTTATCGGGGAATTGGAACGACTTACATCATAAATTTCACTTCTAGTGCGCCTATTGCGTGATTGGCCAGTTGATATTAAAGCCTTGAGGCCAGCAAGCCAGACTTCAGATTCGACTTTGTCTTTGCAAATCTGTAAATGTGCAAAAGGATGCAATTAATTTACGAGGTAAAACTTATCATAAACAACTGTCATGTCTGTAATAGGTTAGGGTTTCCTACATGTAACTATATATATGATTAATATATACGTACTATATATAATATATACGCTAATAATAACTGCTGAAAGAAAACTTACTAGATCGAGGGATCTTTCACCGTTATTATATATCAGTGAGAATGACAAGTAATCCTTCTCTGGGCGTAAAAATCTTTTAAAAACAGGCTGTATAGAAACAAACATAAGACAATATTAAAAAAAAAATGTCAATTAGTTTCTCTCTCTCTCTCTCCGATAGTCGATGTAGTTTCAGGCAGTATTGTGAAAATAATAAAGTTTGAACTCACAGTTCTCTGTCCAGGAATGATCCGTGAAACAGAAGATAACGTCAAATGCCTTTCTGAGCCATGCGAATACCAGATTAGTGTTGCTTCATCCTGAAAATAGCATGCAAAACCTAAGAACCAACATATTTTTAAGGTTATTTATTCATAATTATACTTTCTTTAATATATATTTACGCCAACATGCAAATGGATGCAATAGTATGCAAGTGGAAGAATCTCAGCTAATAAGATGTAACCAGAAAGTGGATCTTTATGTACAACTGCTTCATCTTGCTTATCCACAGAATTAAAATAAGAAAAGCTCGAATTCCAGCTTATTCCTAGCTTTCGAAAGAGTTTGTTGGTATTTCTTGTAACCGTACATAACCACCAGTTTTTGTCCTCTCAACTCATTTTCACCGTCTAACCAACTTTTGAAAAAACTAACCCTCCAGTTAAAATTGCAATTCTTTTTAGCAATATATTAATCAAATACAATGCCTTCTGCACGATGACAACAACAACAATTCCATTATTAACGGAGGAAAAATACTCTCAAGCAAGACATATTCATATATATATATATATATATATATATATATATATATATATACACACACACACAAACAAAAACCTATATTTAGTTAAGTTCACAATGCCTTTCTATCTTTAACCCCGTAAAATATTGATAAGAAGTTAGATTTCTAAATAAATGGAAATGTAGATTGTCTTCTACTCTTTAGAACGAATAAAAATCGGAAGGAAGAGATAAGTTGCAACATATAAGTTAGCGTTAACATGCGACAGCAAAGTTAAATGAATACGGAAAAACTTTGTTGTGGTAAAGGTGATGGAAAAGATAATTTCTTACTGGAGAAAGTCTAAATGTACAAAACTTGGGCTTCCCTTTTCTGCTGTACTTGATTAGCTGTGTTCCTTTCTTCAAAGCAATGAGTGCCTTCAGTCAACAAGTCAACAAAATGCCGTGAGGCGATTGATTACCGATCAAAAAACTATAATGGAATAGTAACACAAAGCATCTAGTAATACAAACAAGTGCCGAACCAAGCTAGCTAATAAGTATGAAAAGTTTTACAATTTCATAACCTGCCTTTGAAGGCATGATTCTTCAAATGTACGTACGTCATGAACAAAAAACAAAATTGTCGCATAAATTGCAAGTGATCTACCTAAACAATCATTTTTATTTAACCACTCAGATTACATCTTAAGCTGATATTTTTCTAAGACACAACATTTGATACCCCTTAAGCAATCTTACAATGCAATTACTAATTATTAATCAACCCACGGAACGAGTATTCATTCGAGTGCTGGAGTGGAATTCTGATGTCAACGCAATCCTTTATATACATATATATCGAATATGTGTGTATATATCGGATAATCAATCTATCGGAAGCAATAATAATTAATTGACACATAAAGTAAATTGAAGGGAGATTGTAGAAATTGAAAAAGAGGGGAAAAAGCCCTAATTACCTGATCAATGTCACGGTCAGGGTTGCCATAACTAGCAGGATCTGCCATTCCATCTGAAACAAATGTTGGGTATAAACCGAATATACCTAATTATTCTCCCAACCATTCGTGTAGTCTTCATAGATGATCCCAATGCACTTCTCTTCTATGCCAAATCATAAAATCAACAAATTGAATGAAACGATTCAAACTTCTCTTGTAATTAATTTTTCCTGATCTCGAAAAATATTTGTTTGCTCGATTCGCCAATAGATGATGATATCTTCTGGGCAATGATGTGAATTTGGTTTCGCACAGTTTGGAAAGAAGATCACCACCACCACACACACCAGAAAGATAGATATTAGATAGATAGAGAGAGAAAGAGAATGAATTGAAGAGAGAGAGAGAGAGAGAAAATGAGACGAGTTTTAGGAAGATGTTGGCAGCTGAAGAGAATTGGGATGCTATTTTGGCGCGCTTATTTGTCCTCACTAATTACCTTATAATTCCAACTCTCTTAATCACCCTTAATCACAACCCTGATCTTAGTTTACTCTTCCACGTGCAAAAATCATACTATAATAAATAACTAATTTGCTTGAAAATTAAGTAGATTAATTATTGAAGCAAGATATGAGATTCACAATCCTATATTACTACTCTCTTATAAGAGTGAATACTACAATTCCTTTTCGTCTTTTTTTTCTTTTTTCTTTTTTCTTGTTCTTTTTTTTGGCACTCCTGGTATAGATACGACGTCGTTTGACTATGTACCGTCGGAAAGTAGCTTCATCCCTTTTTTTTTTCTCGCTTTCTGCAGTTGCTTTTCGTAATTACGACAACATTTGGTGTATGTTTTTTGTGCATTTTCTCCCGATATTTTCTTTTCGGTTTTTTTCCCGTGGACGTTTAATATACAAACAACATCATTATCTTGTATTTTCACTTGGAGTGTTCATTCGGTAATACCGCACCGAACCGTACAGGAAAATTTGAATTAATTAAAAAAAGGAATTATTTCGGTTTTATCAGTTCGGTACATGTGAAAATCAAAAATACATTTTAATATTTTACAAAATGTAAAAAACATATATTTAAACTAATTAATTCTGGGACATTCAAATTTCAATAATCGACCCTAAAAACAAAAGGCGATTATCAATATTAGAGACTAATTTACAAATAATAGGGAAAAATATCAATCTTCAAGTATTTTATAATTTGTTATAATCTTAAAAAAATTAAAATAAAATAAAAGAAAATAATATATAAAACATTTCGGCATTCGAAACGATATGGTATACTGCACATCAATTCCATTTACCGTACCAAATATCGAAAGTCCTATTAAATTTTACCGAATACCAAACAATTATTTTGTTCGGTATTCGCGTGTACTGAATTTTCGGTACATTTTGGTTCAGGAATACCCATAATTTTCCCCTCATTGTCCTCTTTTTGTTTCCCTTTTTCCTTTCTTTTGTTTTCGGAATTATCCCAATCCTTATCTTTAATTGTCGCTTTTCCTTGCATACATTTATGCCCCATTTGGTTGTCAAGATAAGATTAGCTAAGATAAGATAATTCTCCCTATAAAATAATGCGGCCTATTATTTTATAAGATGTTTGTTATCAAATTTTTAATTTTTTTGTCTCCTCATTATTTAATAGTGTTTGATGTTTGGTTTATTTAAAATCAACCCAATTACTTACAAAGACCAAATTACCCTTACTTTTCACCTCTTTCGAATGGGTTGTTTTCCATTTGTCGTCCAAGAAACATTGGTGATATCAACTACCCGAACTCCGAGTCTGTATTAAAGAATCTAATGCAGAGAGGAGGAGGAAACCAAGATGAATTAAGACAACCGTGGCTGTTCGTTAATTACTTTGTACTTAAACTAATTTCCTTCCGTCTTTCTTTCTGTTGGTTCGTTTTCGTGCAAGTGTTCATTGTAATATTTTGTACTCAAACTTATCGTCTGTTAACAAACTAAAATACCAGACTAGACGAAATTAAGTAATGGAAGATGAATATATTAGCACCAGTATAAAGTCACATGTTACAAATGGGTTTAAAAAAAGAGTAAACTGCAAAAAGTATCCCTATTTAATTTCCAAATAGCAAAAATTCTTCTATGATAAATAAATTAGCAAAACCCCTCTGTAAAATTTAGTCAAAAGTAGAACCCCTAATTGACTTTCATGTGGCTCACACGCTGGATGTGCGGCTGGTAGCTAATTTTTGGACGTGAGATGATGAAATTGTCCCTCAAAATGTACCTATATGTATATATTGTATTTATAAATTTTTTCTTTTTAATTTGATTGTTTAGAAATTAAAATATTATTAAAAAAATAGTAATCAATTAAATTGAAAAAATATTAAAAAAATTCTAATACATGAGAGATTTTTTGAGACATTTTTTTTATTAGTTAATAAAGGAACCCGCGGCCAATTATATAGGTGCATTGGGTAAACCTGCACTCTCGTATAATAGTTTGCAAAACAATACAAGAGACGTAAACCACACTTTGCTAATGATGTGTGACAAGCTCCACCTAGCGACCGTTGGTAAGATGATTCGAACATAGTCAATTATACTCACTTGATCATACTTTAAGAGGATTTTGGTAATCTATAAATTTATTTTTTATTTTTATTTAGGGTAAATAGCATTTAACCGTCAGTGGTTACAAGTTTTTGCAGATGATCCATTTGTGGCTTATGAGGTAGCCAGGGCCGATCCGGCCTAAATGGAGGCCTAGGGCGAAACTTGAAAAATGTGCCCTCTCTAAGCTTAATGAGTAAAATGATTAACTTCATTGCAATAAACGAGTTTACAAAAATTGGGCGATTCTTTGGGCCTCGTTAAAACCTTCTTAGGAAAAACCTGATGGGACAAAACCCCTAAAGAAGGAAAAAGAGTACCCTAACCAAAAAAAAAATGTAAAAATAAAATAAAAAAATACATTTAAGATTACATGATACAAACATCAAATTATCATTCAATTTCTTGTAGCTTCATCTTCAACACCTTGGTATAGCATCAGCTACAAAAATAGTCAATCAAATAGCAACATAATCATTTGAAATGTCTTCTTGTTGCACTTTTAGAAGCAAAATCATCAATTATACTATCATATGAAATATTTTCCAATATATTTTTTTCAATACATAATATGGCTAATGCATTAAGCCTTTCTTGAGCCATTGTGGTTCTTAAATAAGATTTCAACAACTTTAATTTGGAAAAACTCCTTTCGGCGGATGCCACAGTAACAGGGATAGTCAATAATATTCTATAAGCAATCATAACATTTGGAAACATATCAATACTTTTTACGAACTCTAATATCTTAATGGAATTCCATGGTTTATTTATTTCATACGATTCACTTGGTAACATAACTTGCAATACCTCTAATTCTGAGAGTAAATCTTTAGCATTAACATCAGAAACATCATCAAATTTTAAAGCATTTTCAAGATTCTCACAACAATACTTTAATTCTTCACTATCTAATGAAATTAATTTTATTGCATTGAATAAAAATCCAAAAATAGATTGAAACAATTGTAACTGTTCAAACCTACTCCTCAGTTGAGATAGAGCATTATCCACAATTACAAGAAAATAATCCGTTCTAAAATATTCTTCTGGTGATGCATGTTCTCTTTCATTATTAGAGTTTCATCGAAATATCTCTTTCGACAAAGTCTTCTTCTTATGACAAATATATGCTCAATTTCCATATCAATTGCTATCTTTTTAGCATCTATAATTGCTGAATTCAATCCATTTATTCTATAATTTTCAAAAAATGAAATAAGCCCTTCCAATTGTTTAACAGCAATATCAAGACACATATCTTCGGATTGTAATTTTTTGCTAACTACATTAATTCGAAGCAAAACATCATGCCAAATGACTAAACTTAGTATAAATTCAAAACTTGAAAGTTCTCCTAATGCTAATGATTCAGCATCTCTACTCAGTTTGGCATCATCACTAACTTCTACCATCTTAAGCAAAGCTTCTCTAATTTTGGAAACTTGAGATAAAATTGCTTTAACACTATCTATATGGCTTTCCCAACGTGTAGTTGACAATGACTTTAAAGTTAGCCCATCAATATAATCAAGTAAAACATTCCAACGTTTTGTGGAATTAGCAAACGCAGTATATATGCATTGACAAGCTCCAAAAAAACTTTTTGCTTTGATACTAGAGTTTGCCATTTCACAAAGAATCAAATTAAGACAATGAGAAGCACATGGCATATAAAACGCTCTTGGATTAATGTCAAGCAATCTTCTTTGAACACCTATATTTAGTCCTTTCATATTAGAGCCATTATCATACCCTTGTCCCCGAACATTATGAATATCAAGTGAAAGAGATGTTAACACAGATTTCAATTCATTAAAAAGTCCAAATCCAGAAGTATCAACCACATTTCTATATTCTAAAAAGTACTCTTCTATTTTTATAGGAGTATTTGACACATCTACACATCTTATGATTAATGTCATTTGTTCCTGATGACTTGCATCGGGAGTACAATCAAGGATTAGTGAATAATATTTTGCATTTTTTATAATTTTAATAATTGCATCTTTGACCCTTGAAGCTAGAATTTGTATTAACTCATTTTCTATTTTATGGCTAAGATAATGATAATGAATTTTTTATCTTGAATAAGACGAAAATGATGCTGCATCACTGGATCAAACTCTCCAATTATTTCAATTAAACCCAAAAAATTTCTATTTGTATCTTCATTAAGTCGTTCATTTGTACCACGAAATGCTAAATTATGTATTGCAAGACATTTCACAACAACAATTATTCGAAGCATAACTTGTTTCCAATGTTGAGTGTCTTGTTTAATTAGCTCTTGTATTTCTCTACCAATTGTTTGATTTTTGCTCAATCGAATTCGTAACTCAACACAACTTCTTAAGTTCATGAGATGTTCTTTACTATTTTCATGTTGTGTAAGTTTCTCGCTAAGATGTTTCCAATCACAAATTCCTTCAGTTGCTAATAAGCTTCTACTAGGCATTGTTTTAAATAACTTGCAACAAAAACAAAATACTTTATCTAAATCCTTAGAGTAAACAAGCCAATTTCTATCATGTTTTTCACCATTTGATAATACACGAATATAAAAAATTGAAGAAAAATGCCTACCAAGTTTATCAATAGGATATTCTAAATTTGATTGTCTTTTAGGACCTTTTTCTACGAGCAAATCTATAAACTTTGCATCTAAACCATCCCAAACCCTTGGATCATAAATATCAACATCTAAATTTGGTTCATTAAATATATGATCATTTTTTTCATTCACACTCACTTCACTGTCATTTTCAATTATATCACCAATTTCTTCATCCACACAAGTTTTAGTCTCGTCATTTACTTCATTAGCATTTTCTAAATTCTCAACTATTATGTCACCTAAACTATCACGATTTTTTAAAATCCATTTACCCATAGTTTTTCTCAATACTTTATCCTCTTCTTCTTGTTTTTTCTTTTTTTGTTTTTTTTCATAACCAGATGCTTGTTTTCTAGGAAACATATTCAATTTTTGGTGAAAAAAATAGACTCTTGCAATACTAAAACACTATCAAAATTCAATAAAAACAAAATAAAGTCTAGTAAGGAAAAGAAACGATATCACCTGGTGATGTGAATTTTCTTCGTTCTGAAATTCAAAATGCAATTTGAAGTCACACGACGGAGATAAGTCTACCGAGGTATCACCCTCGCTTTCAAAATTTCAATGTATCATCTGTAGCGTAGCGTGTGCGTGTGTGGTTTTCATAATTATTAATTAGTGAATATGATTAATAATTATTAACTAATTAATTACCATTGGGTAAGAAATTATATACTGGACAAAATCACTGATTTGAAATCATAGAAACATAGAAAATAAAATTAATTACATAATGAACAATTACCTTTGGCTGAGCAATTGAGCAAATTATCCTCTCCTGATTGCTATGCCTTCTTGATTCTGTATTTTAAAAGTAAAGACAAAATAAATAAATAAAACAGAAAATTATTTTTTTCCCGAACAAATCAGAGAAGAATAGAAATCCCAAGGGAGAAAGAAGCTAAAAAAATCGTGAAGACCTTAAAACTTGCCCAAAAAAAATAGCAGAAAGTGGGGAATATCGAGCTTCGACCGGAAATAAGACGGTGACGCCGTGACGGTGACGTTGACGGTGGAATAATGCAAAAAATTGGGTAAAAAAATATTGTCAATAATATTTTATGCTTTGAAATTGAATGAGGAAAAAATATTGAGGAAAGCAGCAAATTTATTGACAAATATGAAGGAGAAGAAATTGGAACGTTAAATCTTGAAAATTGGAGAATGAGAAATAATCGTCATTCTGTTTCATTGAGAAGAGAAAATGGTGTTTTGTTAATTGAGAAGAGAAATCAGGAATTAATTGCGGCAGAAAAAAAGAAAAAAAAAGACCTAATATAAATACATATATATATAAGTAAAAAATTAAAAATTGGGCCCCCCTTATAATAATGGGCCCTGGGCAGAGGCCCAGCTCGCCCTGCACCAGGGCCGGCCCTGGAGGTAGCTTCCGTTAGTTTTTCCATCAAACTTAATCCCGTGTGGAAGTATTTTTTATTTTTTTTGCAGATGACCCCCATGTGCTTTAATTTTCCCTTTTATATTTGCAGATGACCACCTTGAAGTTCGACACACGCGGTTAGGTTTAATGGAAAACTAACAGAAGCTACCCCATAAACCACAATGAACTTATGTTCTGATATTACGAACACGAGGAGGTCATCTGCAAGAGCTTGTAACCACGTGGGGTTAAATGCTATTTACCCTCTTATTTAACTCAAGAGCATTATAGACCTTACACATTTTTCTGGTAAAAACATAAGTCATCCATTAGCTAGAGGGTTTTTTTATAATTTTTAATATGTGAGGTGGTTTTTGGTTATGTGGCCCCAGTTAAAGAAGGTTTTCGTAATTTACCTTAAGTGAGATATTGAGAAAAATACAAAATATTAGAAAAGAAAATTATTTTGAGTTAAATAATGAAAAAACTAACACATGACATCCTCAATTTAATTAATTAATTGATGAATAAGTATTGAGAATCTAGTTGAATATGAATAAAATATTATTTAAAAGTATTAGGAATGTTTTATTTAAAATTAATATATAAAATATAAGTGAACAGACAAATTTCTTCCTGCAAATCTCACGTGCAACGCACGTGTTCAATATTTTGGCCAAAATTTACCAGAAAGTTAGTTTGAGGGGCACCGTGCAACGAATTAACGAGTTCGGGTAAAATATGTTCAAGTTTTTTTTTTGTTTAGGGCAAAAAAGCATAAAACGACCCTAAGTTTAGGGGGTCGTGTTTGACATCAATATTATTACTATTATTATTTTTGACATTATTATTTTGTTTGATTTGCTGACCAGTCAACGTAATAATATTGTTGTCGTTGATAGAAAATTACTGTAAACACAATAATATTACTGGCAACCACATCAATATTGTTTTTTCCTTTTTTAGTTTTTTTGATTTGTTGACAGATTAACATAAAAATATTATTGTATTTTGTAATTTTACTGTAAACACAATTATATTATTGTATATTGTAATGTTAATTATTTTCTTTTGGTTTTTCATTATGTTTGCCTTTGTTGAAAGGTCAACATATTAATATTTTAATATTAATGTATAATAGAATAATAGTGATTTTTGTTGTGTTAATATTATTGTACTGGAGAGTAATATAGCAATATTATTATGCTAAAAATTAATATTGTTTATATTACTATCAACCATAATAATATTAATGTTTAAATGCGCATAAAATATTTTTAGGAAAAAAATAGGTTTTCAAAAAAAAAAAAGATATATCATTGCCGGTGACGGTCGAAATTGTAGTAAATGGTGACTTAGCAATCAAAATTGAATAATTGGTGAAATTTGTAATAAATCCTAACATAATTAGCGTGTAAAATAGTCAAGAATCTTATCATTGAATTCTACATTCTGAAGAGTTGTAAGCAATAGAAATTACTCCTTGTAAAACTTGAACCGTGCCGACACGCTTATGGAATTGTTATAAGGAGCTTATTGCAAACCTAATAGAAACCAAATTTGATTTTATTCAGCACACAAAATCTTTAGGGTTTATAAGACTAGAGGCATGAAGAACGCAAAATGGGAAGACGCTGGCTCCAACTCCATGGAAATGATATCCGATTTGCCGAAACACATCTTGCAGAGAGTACTTTATTTCCTCTCCCAGAAAGAGGTTGTTCGTCCAAATCATGGCGTGATATTTGGTGTACTCGCCTCAATCTTGATCTTAGAGGACCCTACTTGAGCAGAAACAAAAAATAGTTTCTATCCTTTGTGGAAAATACTTTACAGCGATATTGTGATCAAATGTTGTCCTTGGAGGAATTTCACCTTAGTATATGGTTAACATTTGTTTTATATCACAAATCGGTTTCGCTGCTCGAAAAATGGACCGCAAGACTAAAAAATATGGGCATGAAGGAGTTTCGTCTTCCTATTTGTTCGGAAGATATTTTGATATGGATCTGCCCTCTGTAGTCTTCGAGCCGGAATCACTCCAACATTTGCATGTGTATTGATGATGCTATTATTAGATCACCTTGGGTATTGGAGTAGAAGGAGCAGGGAAGACAAAGTGGATCACGTGCTCACGAGCTAGATGGTCCTGAGACACCTTAATTGACTTGAGAATCCTACGAACATAAAACACGTAATCTAAGTCGGGGTTGATCCGGCGGAAACTCCTCCTACGCTCAAGTTAGACGTGCGATAGTCGGTGATAGTAGAGGGAATAAGAGCAGTTGAATTGATTGAATAATAAAACGTACCTTAATTAAATGAATTTAAGTTATATTTATACTTCCTTGATTGGGCGAAACCCAATTTATCGGACTCAAACCTTATTTGAAGGTGATTGGGCTTCCGTAGTAGTAGCTTTTAAACTGGGTCTGTGGCCCAGTAAATATAGGTCCATTGGGCTGAGCCAATAGACATATCATTAAGCACCCCACTCTCGAGTCGATGTGGGAGCTAAGTTGAGAAAGGTGCCGGATCATGTCGACAGTAGACTTGTATTTTCTATTTTTACGTTTGCGTCATGGAGGAAGAGATAATAATAAAATTTTATTAATATTATTTTGCAATTTTGACTTGCAGGAGGTAGACTTGACCACGGTTCGGTTCGGTTCCGGTTCCGGTTCCGAACCGCCGGTTCCGGTTCCGATTTTGGAGGAATCGGAACCGAACCGAAAAAATCCGGTTCCTTGCAGTTCGATTCCTAACTGGTTCCGGTTCGGTTCCCGGTTAGAACCGTAGAACCGTTTGGTTCTTAATAATAATTTTTTTATTTTATATATATATATATATATATATATATATATATATATATATATATATATATATATATATATATATATATATATATATATATATATAGAGAGAGAGAGAGAGAGAGAGAGAGAGAGAGAGAGATAAAATTAATATTTTTTTTTTTTTATTTTAAAAAAACCGGTTCAAACGGTTAGAACCGCGGTTCTAACCGTCGGTTTCCGGTTCCAAATATGAGGAACCGGAACCGAACTGGTTTTTTCGGTTCCGGTTCCGGTTCCGGTTCCGGTCAAACCGGTTCCGGTTCGTATCTAAAACCGTTGATCCCGGTTCGGTTCCGGTTCTAACCGAACCGGTGGTCAGGTCTAGCAGGAGGATCTATATTTGAGGTGCTTAAATATAAAATCCGTGTGGATTCCTTTTGAAGTGAGTAGGAAGAAGTTTCAAGATTCACGTGGAATAAGTATGGGTGGGTAATCAATTTTTTATCCACGTACTTTATTTATTTTCTTTACATACTCTGTTGTAGAAAATAATATTTTTTCTGGCTGAGAGGTTAGTCAGATAAAATTATTTTATATGATCGAAGTGGGGAAGGTAAAACAGTTGACAATTATACTGCGAAAGTCGGTCGGGGAGAAGGAGATGACGTTTGGAAGAGTAGGGAAGGTGACTGGGGCTAGTTCCGGTAAAAAAATTGTATCGTATGAAGAAATCGCGCGTCACGTTGACACGCGATTGGGGTTTGTGGGAACTGCGGCTACGGAGTCGGTAGATCAAGCCGCCTGACTCCAGGATAAGAGAGGAGCCGCGCGAAGTAGAGCTGCGCGACTTGAAGCCGCGCGATTTGTATGTGAGAGAGGAGTCGCGCACGGAGCCCGTAGCAGAGGCGTGGGCCATGAGTGAGAGAAGAAGGAGAGAGGGAGAAAAAAGTTGCTGGGGTGGATGATGCGCGACGCGTGATGCGCGGAGGGAGGGAGTGCGCGCGACTCGCGCTGCGCGATTGGGGACTGCGTCTCACGTGTGTTTGGGGAGTGCAGCGCCCGGGCGATTGGTGCTTCTGCTGAGTCACGCGCGGGCG